AGGGTTATCAGGAATCGAATAGGAAGCAAGGTTAGAGACAAGAGGGTTGGGATGGTTATGAAGTTTATTATGGAAGGACAGATATCTGGATTGGGCCAAATCTGATACATAAGGAACATTAAGGTCATTATGGATAATTTTATTTGTAACAAAGTAAGGAGCATTGAGGATTTTACGAAGGATTTTGGATTGCAAGGACTGTATGCGAGAGGAATTTGAAGGCTTGGTGGAGCCCCATAGCTCAACCCCGTAAGTCCAAATAGGCCTTATTATAGTCATGTAAATCAGTCTTTTATAATTGATTGGAAGGTTAGAGCGTTTGTCCAGTAAGTGTTGAAGTAGTCGGAAACGTCGAGCGGTTTCTTGTCGTTTCAGTCTGGTATGAGGATTCCAAGTTAGACGTTTGTCCAGATGGAGTCCTAGGTAACGGATTTGTTCAACAGGAATAAGTGAGGTGTTGTTAAAGGATACTGAAGGACAGGAAGTCATTGGTTTACGACGAAGGGTGAAGGTAATTTGATGGGATTTATTGGAATTTATTTTAATTCTCCAGTTCTGACACCATTCTTCAAGGTTTGTGATGTGGGATTGAAGGGTTTGGGATGCAATAGATGGGTCGTTATTGACTGATAGGATACATGTGTCATCAGCATATGTGGTGATGACAGTGTTGGGATGGGTTGGGATGTCAGCTGTATAAACTGTGTAAAGGATAGGACCTAGGATACTACCTTGAGGAACACCTGCAGACTGGGAAAAACGGGATGTATATACATTGTTGTGATTTACTTTAAAGTATCTATCAGTAAGGTAGGAACGGATAATGAGGAAGTAGGTAGATGGTAGGAATTTTCGGAGTTTGTACAGCAGTCCCGGGTGCCAAACTCTATCAAACGCCTGTTCAACATCGAGAAAGGCTCCCGTACAGTACATACCGCGCTCCAATGCAGAGGATACTACGTCTACCACACGATGGCATTGCTGTATAGTGGAATGGGAGGAGCGGAATCCAAATTGGTGATCTGGGATTATGTGATTAGAATCTAGGATTGGGTACAGGCGTTTTAAGATTAGTTTTTCCAGGATTTTTCCCATGATGGGTAACAGAGAGATGGGACGGTAAGAGGATGGATATTCTGGTGGCTTTTTGGGTTTGTGGATCATTTTGACAATAGATATTTTCCAAGGATCAGGGAAATATGTTGATCGGAGTACAGCATTATATATGAAAGTAAGGAATAGGATGGCTTTTCGAGGAAGAAGTTTCAAGATCTGGGATGTTATTAGGTCATGTCCAGGAGCTTTGTAGGAGGGTAATCTTTGAATGATGTTGGATATTTCTGTGGGATGAAATGCTTTAGGTGGAAGGGACATTTGGAGAGGAGTATCCAGTTCTGATTCAATACATTCGATGTGGGTTGGATTAAGGATATCAGAATGTGGGTTGAAAATTTGGAACAGATGTTGACCGAATAACAGGGCTTTTTCTTCGTCGGATTTGGACCAGGTTTGGGATTCAGTAAGAAGTGGGTGATTAAAATCTTTAAACTTCAGAAGTTTTTTGGTTGTAGTCCATAGTGATTTGTCAGTTGTTGTAATATTTTCAGTTAGGTTCAGTAATTGTTGAGTTTTATATTTTCTGATTTCTGATTTTAGTTTGTTAGTCAATTCGGTATAGTACGTTTTGTCTGAAGGATATCTAGTCCTGCGCCACTTCGATCTTGCTCTGCGTTTATCCCTTAATAAGATTCGAATATGCTGTGGCAAGTTAATATGTCTTAAATTATTGATTTTATTATTAACAAATGTGTTATTATTTATACTCGTTGTTATAGTCGTATTAAGGTTTTCTATGGCATTATCAATATGTTGTTTTGTCTTAAGGGGAATTTTTAAGTCTAGTTTATCTTCCAGATCATGACGAAATTTGTCCCAGTCCACTCGTCCTGTAATTAGTTTAGGAAGTTTAGGTTTAGGAGCAAAGTTCGAATGTAGTAAAAGCAAAACTGGACTATGATCTGACGAAAGGTCATCCAGGGATTTGATAATGGATTGGGAGGAGGAAATCTGGGAGGTGATAAATATATCCAGGATATCGGGACGTTTTTTCCGAGATGTAGGCCAATATGTAGGATTCATGGGTGAGAGGATTGAATAACTGTTGGAAGAAGAGACACGTGATAGGATGCTACCGCGGGAGTTGGATGTTCGACAACCCCATCGTTGGTGTTTAGCATTGTAGTCTCCTCCAGCAATAAAGCGCGCTCCGAGGGATTGAAATAAGGAATCAAGTAGGCTATAAGAGAGGGAATTACCAGGAGGACAGTATACAGCTGAAAGTGTTAGATGGAAAGGACGAGTTGAAAGGATTACAGAAGTTGATTGAATGGCATCAGTTGGAGTAGAAGAGATAAGGGAATGCGATAGAGATTTATGTATAAGGATGCAAGAGCCAGCGTGGGAAGTGTTGTCTGGATGGTCAGATCTATAAGTGATGTAGTCACGTATGTAGAATTGTGTCCGTTGAGTGAAATGAGTTTCTGTCAGAAGAGCAATGTCAATATAATTGTCATGGAGAAATATGTCTAGTTCGTCACGGTGGTTTTGTAGTCCGTTATCGTTCCATAAGAGGATAGCTAGGGGCTTTGTATTCATCGGAAGTTAAACGGGATTTCGGAAAGGAGTCTTGTGAGAAGAGTTATAAGCGGTTTGATAGTCTGTTGAAGATCTATCAGGAATGATGATAGGATAGAGTTGATGTCGGATGATGTTTGGCTGGGAAGTGGATTTAGGTCATGAGGTTGTGATGAGTAATCTATGCGAATAGGATTGCTAGGTGGAGGGTGGGTCCGACGTGGGGTACGAGGAGTAGGATCTAAATTCTGTTGGACTTGTGATGGGAGGTTCATCTTGGGAGTAGGAACGAGTGGAGCTGGGTGTGGGTGCTCTGGCGGGAGTTTGACCCTTAAGGGTAGCTGATGGGGAGGGATTGGCTGACGAGGCTGTTGAGGTTGAGTATTAGAGCTTTTGTGCTTGGATTGGGAGGTTTGAGGCGCCTGACTTTGAGGCTGCTTCTTAATGATGCAAGGCTGCCATTGAGAATTTCTTGAGTTCTGTTGAGGATAATCCTTAAGTGTAGAGATGGATGGTTGCTGTTGGACGGCGATGGAAGGTGAAGTCGGCAAAGCAGGGAATGTTTCCTGATTTTCAATTTCAGGTGGCTCAGGACAAGTTTTTTGAGCAGGTCCAAGGGTTTTCGTCGCTAAGTTGCGTGATCTCTGTTTGTGAAGATTTTTATACACCTCACAACCTCTATAGCTTGCAGGGTGGGCTTCACCACAAAGAGCACATGTAGCGGGCTCATCTTTTGGCCTCTGGCAAGTGTCTGAAGCGTGAAAACCGGCGCATTTAACACATCTGGCCTCATGATGGCAATATGTCTTCGTATGCCCTAAGTTTTGACACTTAGTGCATTGTACTATTAGGGGCTTCTGTCTTGGTTCTTCAAATCGTACTGTCGAGTATACTAAACGTTGAACCTGAAATATTTCATTATTCGTTTTTGCTGGTTCCAAATCTATAAAAAATAATGGAAGCGGATATCTTTCCCTAGGATGTAGTACGGGTGCTATGTGCCTGACGTTATGACCGATTTCTTCCAGGCCTATTTTGATGACAGATATAGGAGTGGTTGGATGTAGACCTCTCAGGACTACTCGAAACGCCTTGTCCTGTTTCAATTGGTAACAATGGAAGTCGTAGTTTTTGGAAGTTAAATGGCTAATCAATTTTTTATAGTTTTCTCTAGAGTTCGTGTTTATTTTAATGTCATTGATTCGAGAGAAGCAGCGAAAATTTGGCTGTCCGATTAGTTTTGCAATTTCTTGACCAAACGACACGAAGTTTCTCAATTTTTGAAACAAAAACAGGTGGCGGTTCGGGGTCAGAAAAATCTTGAGGCTTCGGAATCTTGCTTGATAAATTGTTATCGAGAATAGTATTCTTGCTGGCTGAGGTGCTTGGTGCAGTTGGCTCTGATTGTGTGGCATTAGATTTACTCCTCGTTTTAGGTGGAGATTTTTCTTGTTCTGCTGGCTTATTTGATTTGTTTGATTTATTTTTTGTTTTTTTCTTATTTGGTGAGTTGCTTCCCGAACCGGGAGCGGAGTTTCGGACACGCTTTTGGAGCGTACGTCTTTTCAAGTATTGCGAGTCAGTCTCGCTAATTTCTGAAAAGGGTGTCTCGTTCTCCGAGTCTTCACAAGAAGTGTTCTTATCCAAATCCATGGATTTATCCATGATGGATAAATGAGTGTGAGAGAAAGAGAGAAAAAAAAAATGTTTTTTAAACCTAAATATTAAAATGAAAATTATAAGATAGCTTCTTAAGAACTAAACTATTTACAAACTATATACAGATATAATATAAAATAATTCATTTCAGAATTAATTAATGAGAAAATAAAATAAAAGTCTCCTGAAAAATATTAAAAATATAAAGAGAAAAAAAAAAAGAAAAAAAAAAACCTAAATGTCTTGGATTCGAACTGTGAACAAAGCCGAAGAATGTTAGTATACACAGAGCCGAGTCTTGACCGTAACTTATTACAGATAAGGTAAACCCGTAAGGGATTACGGGCCACTTGGGCTTGCCGAACGAGCACTAATTTATTACTGCTTCATTGTTAATCAATAGTTACTAACCTGAACATATGTGACATAAAATGTACCACTATTTATATAGTCACTGTTGATATAGTCTTACACCAGAATTTTAGATAATAACCACATTACATAGTAACAAATACAGAGCGACGTGAATCTTCAACTGCACTTGCGGACATTAAAGTTGCTGACTGTTATAAACAAATGTAAATTTAAAGGTAAGATACTTAAATTTAGATATTTTAAACAATTTATGCATCATGCATTTAATTGGGTACTATGTATAATGCATAATAAACATTTCAGTTAATCTAATAATTAATGATATTATTTCTTTTGAAAATTGTCTGTTTCTCTTCTATGGCAAAAACCTCTTTGGATTGTGTACTAATACTTGTAAGTTAGTAAGGTTATAGAATAATTCAAAAAGAGATACATTTTGACGGGCAAGGATTTGTCATGAGTTTATGATAATATTTTGGATATGAATAGATTTGAATTTGGTTCTTCCGAAATTGATTCTGACGAATCATTAGTATGTCTTGCCTCCAATGTTACGCTCTATGATGGAGATACCAAAGTAAGTTACAATTTCTTGGGATAATATTGACTTAATTCTAAGATTGGTTGTTAAGATTTCAACTAATCTTAGCCCATTTATTTTAATTACTTTTTTTTTATAAGCTCGATATTCATAAAGTTATAATAAATTGAAAATTGTCCAATAAATGATTACTTTAAAGACCTCTATGAGTATACAAACCAAATATTCAGAATGTTGGGTAACTGATGAACTCATTTGAAATGGACACTATCCCTTTAATTTTCAAGTTGATGAGATGAAATATCACAATTGGTAGGTAAATAATGTCAGATAAAAGCCGTCATTCCACTTTGACATATTTCTGCAGATGGTCTTTAATGTTTATCATTACATCCTCTTACATTTCAACCTGAATAGCTTCGATTTTGTGTTGTATGGCTTCTTTTTAATGAGGAATATTACGTTGTTTGTCATCACAGGCTTTTGACTTCAGATATTTTCGTAAGTAAAAATTGAAGGAAGTGAGGTTGGGCGTGCAGGATAGTTTCATGACGATCCTTCTAGAAATCAGGCATCCCGGGAATCTTTTATAAACAAGATTCATTAGTAACAATTTATTTACTTGTTTTCAGATTTATGTTAGCACAAGAGCTAACAGTTTCTGTTTACACCATTTGGTTTTTTTTTAAATAATCAAAACATTATAAATTCTTTGGTCATTGTTTGTAAAAATAATAATAGTAATTGCATTAGTGTTTTTCAAGTGATTTTTTCAAGCAGCTTAACTAATTCATGCTGATTAAGTAAGTCAATTACACTGCATAAGATGTTTCAGAATTGAAGGGTCCCTTCAATCCTATTTAAACATTAAGACTGGTATCTGTCTTTAAATGTTTCTTTGCCCCTGTAAGAGTGGTGTCGGTCCTTTGGGGTTCTTTAGTGTTTTATTGTTCCTTACAGAAGGTTGCACTTGGGTCGTTACCCTCCCCCCGGTAAACCAACCGCCCAGGTGTTAGCACTTATGATTTTTATTTGAATTAAATAAATTCCACAGGCGGTCTTTAGAATATATAGCAGATAATATAAAGTTCGCGTTCCGGTGCCGGAGGGTCTTTTAACCCTGGCACTAATCCCCCGCCCTCTCCCCTTGGCCTGTGAAAACCCTGTATTGCCAAAAAGGTGAGAAGGAAGAAAAAAAATATATATATATGTAAGTGTAATTTAAAAAACCATTACATTCCTATAGATAACACTAGAACTTTAGAGCTTACTCCTTACAAATGAGACGTCACTAATTCAAAAAATAACGGCCCGGGAAAACCTCGTATAGACTAACAGGTGAGGAAGTGGTGAGGGGTCAAGGGGTTAAGTAACATTTATGAATTCTTAGAATACTGAATTCAAATTACCTTAATCTTATATATGGAACAAAAATTGAATTTGTTGAAATAATTTTATTGTTAGCAATAATTTAATTTACCCTTTATTGTTAGCAACAATTTAATTTACCCTTTATTGTTAGCAATAATTTAATTTTCCCTAAAAATGCACTTATTCTCCTTACCCGCCTGACTTAATTGTTTTCTCATTCCATTAAGTACCTCGCTTAATACGCACCCATATTGAACCCAAATGACTACATTTTCTCTAAAATAAACATGTCAGAATTTTCAACAGGATTCTTCTGAATAGTTTGACATTTTTAGCAGTGTTTACTTCAATAATGCTACTGGTTCTTCCAACTATGTGATTAAGAAATCATCGGCAGAGGTTGTTAGATGTTTTGTTTGATAAGATTAGCATATTTTAAATTCTCTTTTTCAATCAAATGCAAAACACACCAGCAACCTAATGGACAGAAGATCACGATTTTGAATCCTGTTGCCGGAGGGCTTCTTTAATCCTGACGTTGATCCCACCCTTCCCTCTGACAAACCCTGCATAGTCGAAAAGGTGAGAAAGGGGAGAGAAAAAAGGTGTTTCCCAATGCCATGTTTGAAAAGCATTAAATTAGTTTAAAGAAATATTTAGCTAACTACCATATCGAAGCAAATAAAATAACAAAATATGAACTGGTTGATCTTTTTTTTTTTTTTTTATTCTATTAACAACTGCTCCTAAAGCTCCCAATTTTTTTTTAAAAGATTGAGGGATTATTATTTTACCTAATTTGTTAAACTGTTCATTTTGTGCGTTAGCTTTGTTAACTATAACCTTAATGTTGAAGGGATTTTATAATAAAGCATGTGAGAACATATTGGAAAAATGAATATTTTGTTGTGTTCATCTTTTGTAGCATAAATGATAATTGCTATTTTTCAGACAGCATTGGAAGATGGTGAAATCGCGCTAACAAGCCATCGATTAATTTGGACATCTCCATTTGATAGTTCATTGTGCTTATCCCTTTCTCTTAAATATGTTGTTTCCTGTGAAGAAGAAAAACGTGTTTTTTCATTCCTACGCTCACCTAAAATTGTGCTTCACTTGTCCCCACCTTCATCTGGTAATTGATACAATTTATATATTAAAATATGGCAAAATTTTACTAGGTTAGTTGTAAAGAAAATAAGTTTTCCATTTTTTTTTTTTTTTTTTTTTTTTTTTACTTTTATTTTCAAAGTTATATTTGTTATAAATTATCACCATTTCTATTTTAAGTGCTTGATTTTATCTATGAGATTATGCTTGAGTTATATTTCATCAGCATGCATGCATCAAATCATTGAATGACTATGTCTACAAAAATATTAAAATAACTTTAAAATTAAAGTTTGTAAATGTAAATTTTTAAACAAACAAATGCAAAGATTGAATGTTTTATTTAGTAGATATCTGACTTTTCAATGGGTTGTTTGAAAAAACAGGCAGTTAGGTTTGCTTTCGACCACATTACTTTGTTATACGTTTTTGGTTGTGGATAAGAGAGGAAATTCCCATTTCATATGTTAAATTTGAGAACCTTAATGTTCTTTAGTTATATAGGAAAAGCATAAGATGATAAGAGTCCATTGATTACAAAGAAAATAAAACAAATGATTAAAGTTGTAGTAGCTCATACAAACCAATTTATGTTCTATATTACTCTCTGTTGGATTTTCCTAGTCTTTTACCACTTGGTAGTTTAAAAATTCAGATCTTAAGAATAAAGCACACAATCATGGAAACTTTTGCATTCTTATTCAGAAATTTATGTTTTTCTAATATGTACCAGTTAAGTAAACATGAAACCGGAATTTAAGAAAATATATGTTTAATTGCATAAAGATGTTTTAAAATAAATATGCTGTTCATCATTAGGTATAGATTTTCCCCATCTCTGGCAATTTATGAATGAGATGAAGTTTGCTTTATTTTTTTCCTCCAGTCATCAAGCCATTTTTGTTCATTTCCATAAGAAGTGAAACGCTGCTGAGCAACTGTGTGCCCCATCAATGAATATTAATCATAATTGGATGGAGCTATGTCTAGTGAGTAAGCTGCAAGTGCTAATATTTCCCAACTGAACGCCTCAATCGTTTCTCTCGCTGGTTATGCTATGTTTGATAGTTCATTATCATGAAACAAAATCAATCTCTTTTTTCATATTCCAGTCATTTTTCACATAATGCTCGATTCAAATGTATCATTTATTGTCTATAGCACGGGTCTCTAAACTTTTTTTTGTACCACAATGAAACCTTGACTGAGTTCCGTGGTCCGTATTAAGAACTCCATACAAGTCCCGCGGACCATGGCTTATGATAAAAACAGATATATTATTGTTTATATGACACTTCAGCTCTGAAATGAGTTCTCTAAGAGAGAAAAAATGTGCAATAAATATTATAGTAAGCGTGTGTGAGTAATTTATGAAATTTCATCTTCTTCTTCTTCAATGGGCGCTACAGTCCTTGTAGAACCTGGGCCTCTGCCACCACTCTCCTCCACTCCTCATGGTCCACAGCAAGATTCCTCCAATTTCTGATCCCCAGCCTCCTCAAGTCTTCTTCCAGATCATCCAACCATTGGGGCCTGGATCTACCTCTTAGTCTTTTTTCTCCTGGAGCACCATTCACCATTTGGAAGTCTACTGAGATCCATTCTTTCAACATGACACAGACATCTGAGTCTTCACTTCTTAATAACACAAAGGATGTCTGGCTCACCATATAACTCCATTAACGCTATGTTACTTCTTATTCTCCATCTATGCTGCTCTCTGATAGCTCCAAAGATCTTTCTTAGTACTCTTCTCTACCAGCCCAGCAAGGCTCTCCTGTTTTAGTTGGTCATAGTCCACATCTCACTGCCATACAAAACGACTGGTCTAATCACCGCTTTATATATTACTAGTTTTGTTTTCCTGGACAGACATTTGTATCGGATCGCCTTTTGCAGAGCACAGAAACATCTAGTTCCTACAACCATCCTGCCTTTTATTTCAGCTTCCAAATTATTGTTTTCTGTCTCTACTCTGCCCAAGTTCTTAATTTATCACAGTTGCAAAACGTGTCTTCTCCCAATTCAACAGTATCTCCTCTCTCCCTCTCTCCCTCCCTCCCTCCCTCCCTCCCTCCCTCCCTCCCTCCCTCCCTCCCTCCCTCCCTCCCTCCCTCCCTCCCTCTCTCTCTCTCTCTCTCTCTCTCTCTCTCTCTCTCTCTCTCTCTCTCTCTCTCTCTCTCTCCCTCCCTCCCTCCCTCCTATGCTACATTCGGCTTAGAGGAAATTTTTTTAATTTCTCTCTAATTAACTGCCATGCCCCAACAGAGGTGTCACCTGAGGAGGATAAGGAAACATTTTATGAAGAACTTGGACGCGTGACAGAAAGCTGCCCCAAAAATGATGTTAAAATCACTCTTGGTGACTTTAACGCCCAAGTTGGTAAGGAGGTGGCACTCATGCCGACCATAGGAACCCACAGCTTGCATAAGACCAGTAATGATAATGGGCTACGGATGGTGAACTTTGCTACATTGCACGGACTGGTTGTTGGAACAACTCTTTTTCCTCGAAAGAATATCCACAAAGCAACATGGATCTCTCCAAATGGGCAAACAACATCACAGATAGACCATGTACTCATTAGTGCCCGTCACAAGTCCAACATGATAAATGCAAGATCTTATAGAGGTGCAAATATGGACACGGATCACTATTTGAGCATTGCCGAGATCAGATCACGAATTTCGCTGATTAAAAACCACCACCAACGACCAAAGAAGAAGATTGATGTAGCTAAACTTAAGGACTCAGACCACCAATATTCGTATCAACAAGCTGTGGAGACGAAACTTAATGAAGATGTAATTAATGACAGCTCTATGGTCGATGAACAGTGGAAGAGATGCAGCAACGCAATGAAACAGGCAGCAGAAGAATCTCTTGGCTACGAGACTAAATCTAGAAGGCCTCCATGGTTTGATGCTGAGTGCCTTCAAGCAGTAAAAGTGAAAAATGAAGCCTACAGAAAGAAGGTTCAGCGTCCCACAAGGCTCTCCCAAGAAACATATCGAAGAAAAAGACGCGAAGAGAAGAGATTATTCCGCGGAAAGAGAAGAGCTTGGGAAAACAAGAACATGGAGGATATAGAGGCATTGCGCGGCCAAAATGAAAGTCGGCTGTTTTTTCAGAGAATAAACGAGGGTAGGGCAGCTTTCAGGCCCAGAGTGACGGCATGCAAAGACACGAATGGATCTCTTTTAAGCCACAAAGATGACGTACTAAGGAGATGGGTACAACATTTTAAAGACGCATTAAACAGAGGAACGGTGCCTGGAGAAGTAGGAGTAATGAAGGAAGACTCCCTGAATTCTATTGAACCCCCGGATGAGGAGGAAATGGAAAATGCCCTGATGAAATTGAAAAATGGAAAGGCGCCAGGCCCGGACGGAATCCAGTCAGAGCTGTTGAAATGTGGAGGTGAAGAACTTAAGAAAGCTCTGCATGATTTAATGCTGACCATCTGGGAGAGGGAAGCTATGCCTACGGAATGGGCAACAGCCATTATCTGCCCAATACATAAGAAAGGAGATCAAACAGAATGCGCTAACTATCGAGGAATCTCACTCCTTTCGTGTGCTTATAAGCTGCTCTCTAACATTCTTTTTGAGAGGATTCTCCCGTATTCTGAAAAGGAACTGGGGAAATATCAGGCTGGATTTCGAAGAGGACGCTCAACCACTGATCAACTGTTCTCTCTGAGGATGATCCTAGAAAAGACTATGGAGCATAAGGTAGTCACCCACCATTTATTCCTAGACTTTAAAGCAGCATACGACAGCGTTGATAGAACGCAACTATACTGTGCCTTGGAGGAGCTAAGCATCCCTCAGAAGTTCGTACGCCTAATCAAGATGACCATGGACAGCTCGAGATGTAGAATACGCGTCGGTTCTGACGACTCCGAAGAGTTTAAAGTGAGCAGTGGGGTTAGGCAAGGGGATGCCCTCGCCTGTCTATTGTTCAACTTGGCAGAGGAGAAAGCTGTAAGAGACTCCGGTATTCAGACCAACGATATAATCTTCAATCGCCTGACACAGCTTCTTGGTTTTGCTGATGATATTGACATAATAGGCAGGTCTGAACAGGCTCTCAGAGAAGCGTTTATAGGCCTTGAAGCAGCTGCAAGACCACTTGGTCTAGAAGTCAACGAAAGGAAAACTAAGTATATGAGAGTTGGTGGTGAGGTGGATCTGAACTCTCCATTTGAGGTAGGTTCTTTTAAGTTTGAGAGAGTGAAAAGTTTTATATACCTTGGGTCTGAAATTAATAGCAAAAATGACATGGCTCAAGAAATACAAAGAAGGATCTTCTTCTTCTTCTTTGTCTTCCTCTTATGCCATTAATTAGCGTCGAGGAGCCTCAACCAGTGCAGCCACTCTTCCCGGTCCCTGCTTAGTCGCTTCATCTCATTAAGGGTTTTGCCTCTTTTACATCCAATCCTTTGAATGTAATCCTGGGGCGTCCGCGTGGTCTCCTTCCTGTGGGTCGAGCCTCTAATATCCTTATAGGATTCAAATTCTCATTCATGCGGCAGACGTGTCCAAACCACTGGAGTTGCCGTCTTTCTAAAGTAGTTTTAAGTTCGGCAACTCCTAGCTGCTCTCTAATGCTTTCATTCCTAATGCGATCCCTTCTAGTTCTGCCAACAGATCTGCGAAGGAACCTCATTTCTGCTGCCGTTATGCGACTAGAGTGCCTGTCTAGCATTGTCCAGCTTTCTCCGCCGTAGGTGAGTGTAGGTAGGTAAACAGACTTATATACGTGCATTTTGGTCTTCTTGTCTACTTCGCGATGGCCGATAATGCTATTAGTAGTCTGGTAATATACCTGATTCGCCTTACATATTCTACTTGATATTTCGGCATCTATCTTACCAGAACTACTAATTACGGTCCCCAGGTAGGTATATTCAGTCACCACCTCAAGTGTCTCGCCATTGCAGATCAGCTGAACATCTTCTCGCTCTTCCCTCGTCATAACCAGCACTTTACTCTTGGAGGTGTTAATTTGCATCCCTTTCCTGAGCAACTCTTCCTCCCACTCTACCAAAGCTTGTTGTAGTTTGGTCTTTGTGTCGGCTATTAGGACTATGTCATCCGCGTATAGAAGGCTTTGTATGAGGACAGTTCTCAGATTCCACTTCCCAATTGTTGTCCACGCAGTTCGGCGTTTACAGATTTTGTGGATTTCATCCATTACATTTATAAATAGAAGGGGACTTAAGCTATCTCCCTGTCTAACTCCTCTCGCAATTGGAAAAGGTTCCGATTCCATACCGTTCATCCTTACCACTGCCATGGCTCCTTGATAGGCTGACTGTATGGCCGCCAGCAAGTCTCCAGGTACACCCTTGGCTATTAGGGCATTCCAAATTTCTTTTCTTGGAACCACATCAAACGCTGACTTCAGATCAAGGAACGCAAGATACAGATTTTTATCTCTGTCCCAAGCTTTTTCAGCAATATTTCTGAGAACAAAGATGTGATCCTGCGTCTGTCGGCCTGGACGAAAACCAGCCTGTTCCGCTTCTAACTGCCCTTCCACAATCCGTCGGAGTCTCCTTTCTAGTATGGAAGTATAAAGTTTATAGACCACTGATAGCAGACTAATGGGTCTATAATTTTTGCAATCTGTCGTGCATCCTTTTTTATAAATCGGGAGGATTATACAATATTCCCAGTCCATGGGAATTTTCTTTCTGTCATATACTTCTTGGAACAGCGATTGTAGTGCTTTAAGAAGTTCTTGACCACCGAATTTTAAATATTCTGGTGCGATTCCATCCCTTCCTGATGCCTTACCTCTTTTTAGCTTATGGATTGCATTTTCTATTTCTTCTTCCTCTATAACCTCCAGGCTTTCTTGAATATTGGGCTCTTGTTCTTGATAATGGTCTGTTTCTGGATTTTCGGAGAATTGTTCCTGGAAATATTCCTTCCATCTGCCAAGGATCTTTTCCTTGTCTGTAAGTAGGATTCCATCGCTACCTTTTACATTTCTAATAGGCTTGCATTGTTTTCCTCTTAACATCTTAACTTTTCGCCAAAATGTTCTTATAGATTCGCGGTGATCCTCGCTCAGCCTTTTACCAAACTCCTCCCACGACTTCTTCTTCGCCTGGCGTATGGCTACCTTACATTCATTCCTGGCTATTCGATATAAGTGTAGCTTTCCTTCAGTTCTATCCATAAGGTATGCTTTCCAGGCAAGCTTCTTCCGAGAAACCAGTCGTTGGAGATCATTGGTCCACCAGTCTGTCCGCTTTCCCTTGCCAGACACTCTCTTCTTCCCACAAACTGTATTTGCTGTTTCCAGAATACATATTTTCAGTGCCTTCCATATCTCTTCCACATCTCCATCGAATGACGTTTCCCTTAATTTATTTTCCAGGCTTTCTGTAAAGAGGGCCCTTTTCTCTGGGTCATCCAAGGCTCTTATGTTGAGGGTTTCAAATACTTTTGTTTTCCTTTTATACTCCGGGATGATCTTTGTATCAGCCACAAGTAAAAGGTGGTCGCTGCTTATCTCCGCTCCTCTTACTACTTTTATGTCAGCGAAATACTGCCTTATGTTCCTATCATATATGAAATAGTCAATTATACTATTTCGTTCCATGCATGAGAAAGTGATTTTGTGGATTCCCTTGTGTGGATAGAAGGAATTTCCTATGAGGAAGTCATTATGCACGCAAAAGTCTATTAGCCGTTGTCCATTAGTATTCCTCACATTCTCACCTCCATGCAGCCCCAAAACTCCATATCCAGATCTTTCATCATTTCCTGTTCTGGCATTGAAGTCCCCACTCAGGATTACTGACCTTCCTTTTCCTTTAGCTTTATCTACTATTTTTTGCAAATCCGAGTAGAATGCCTCCTTGTCTGCAACACTAGCATCTTCCGTTGGTGCATACACCTGGATTATGGAAATCTTACCTATGGTCATCTTAAAATCTGCTACAATCATTCTTGGAGATATCGGCTCCCAGTCCTCTAAATGATCATACATATTAGGCGACATTACTAGACCCACTCCCTCTTTGGCGAAAACCCCTCTAGGTACTCCAGCATAAATTAGGGAGTAATTATTAGCCAATTTCATTTCTCCACTGCCCTTTTTCTTCATTTCACTTATGCCGAGGATTTCTACTTTGTAGGTCCTCATTTCCTCCACCAGCTCGACCTCCTTCCCAGTTAAAGTTTTTATGTTCCACGTTCCAATTCGTATATCCCTTAGTGCGCCAGATCGTTTTCTTGAAGACAGTCCACATCCGAGGCTAGTTGAATTGCTTTGAATCGTTGATTCTCCAGACGGGTGATTAGCCCAGTGCTGGAGGTCCCGTATCCTCGGGACAACTGGCCTCCTGAATATTTATATCCCCTCAGGAGGAAGGGTGGCCGGGCTATACCCCCCAGCACTGGGTACCTGTTGGTCCACGGGTCTTTATTCTGTATATTCAGACCGATCCTCCTAAGAGGGATCCCCTATCCGCCACCCAGGGGGACGCGCTCCCTAGTGGACAGGTTCCACCGAGAGTTCCACCGAAGAAGGATCACGGCTGCCAATAGATGTGTCTTTGGACTTGGCCGACACTTAAGAAGTAGGTACCTCTCAAAGAAGACCAAGCTGATCATATACAAGACTCTTGTTCGGCCTGTTTTGACATATGGCTCAGAGGCTTGGACGATGACCAAAAACGATGAGATGAAGCTGAGTGTGTTTGAGCGAGGAGTCCTCAGAAGGATTTATGGTCCAGTAAAGGAGGGTGATGTCTGGAGGAAAAGAAAAAATAGGGAGCTCAGTTCTCTCTATGCAGACATCGACGTAGTCACCTATATTAAACTGGCCAGACTAAGGTGGGCAGGGCATGTGGCCAGAATGAGCACCGTTGAGATACCCAAGAAAATAATGATGGAGAAGCTGCACCTCGCAAGACAGGTAGGAAGGCCGAGGACGAGGTGGTTGGACAACGTGGCCTATGATGCGAGAACCCTGCTTGGTGTACGGAACTGGAGAGCTGCAGCAGAAGACAGAGCCAACTGGCGGAGGCTCTTGGAGGAGGCCCAGTCTCGGTAACGGGATGTCGTGCCACACATGATGATGATGATGATTATGGGAAGGGTTTCAATTTCAATTTCTGGCAACTTTCCTCTTTATTTTTTGAATGTTAGGGTCAATCCCTAATTTTCCTGGACTATTAAAGTTGTTTATTAGCATATATAATAATTGTTTAACTCAGAACCATTTACACAATTTTTCATGTCATTTAAAGCTTCCCCTCTCCATCTATGTCCAAATACTTCAGCTGCTGAAGAATTTTCAATTTTTTGGACGATTGAGAAAAGAACAAAATAGATAGCTGAAATAGAAAAAAAACATTTTTTTTATGATATTGATTTTTTTTATTTTTGTATTTTTTAAGTATACAAACTTCATAATTCTTATTTGATTTAATTGTAACGAGTAGCTTGCCTATTATAGTAATCAGTAATTTAAAGTGGTATTTTAGAAAACTATTTTGATAACAGATAATGCTAATAGCTAATCTACTCCACTCCATCTTAATTAGTTAATCTTGATGCAATTTTTTTTTATTCCATTTTTTTTTTATTAATTAAATTTATTGTTTAGATAAAGGGCGTGGACCTGTTCAAACAACACCTACAAACTTTATAAAGCTATCATACAATAATGATTTACATTACTATCTCCTCCCGGCACTTCGAAAAGCTCTGAGTGCAAAGAGGTGGACATTTATTTCACCAGAAATTCCACAACCAATTCAAGAACCAGTGAGTAATAAATAAATCTGAGTAACCACAAATCTTACTTTTTAAGTTTAATTTGCTTTAAATACAACACATCTGTATCATAATTGGAAAACTCTACTGGTGTGTCACTTTTTTTTTAAATGCAAGGATAATTTTATTTTTAAAAATTCATTATTTTTTATGATCAATGATCTCAAGAGAAATTTCTTCTTCTTCTTTGTTCTCCACATTCAGGAACTTATATTTTATTTATATGGTTTTGAGAGAAGGATTAATAATGTTATAGTTTTCATGAACAGAAAATGAAAGGTTTAAAACTTCATTATTATAATAAATTTTCAAAGATTAGGTTTATAGCCAAGCAACTTAACCATCCTTACTTTCCCTCAAGGAACATATCTAAATTTAAAAAAAATATATTACTTTCTGTTATTCTCATAATATTAAGTTATTATTATAAAATCAATTAATTTTTTTAATAAACTTTAATCTGAATTATGAATTTTGATAAATTATATCAATGTTTGGTTGAATGGATTGGTTAAGATATTAGAAGTGTAGGTGTCCATGGAGAGCTATTAGTCCAGTCGATTTTTTGTAGTCAAGGATTTTGGTGTACCTACCTACCTTTTGGATTGCAAAAGACAAGTCTGAGGTTTGCTCTTAGATATTGTATCAGGAATATATTTTTTTTCAAAAGTTTGATATTTTTTGGCTTTTCTCCAAAATGATTCGATAAAAATAAAATTTTATACATTTTTGAAGTGAAAACTTCTTTTCTTTAGGCGCGTTTTGCACTTTTTTGTGGAGGGTGAATTAGATTGATCTGTCAGATTTCGCTCGGTGTTAATGCTCAGGTAAAGTCGGCTAGTTAAAATGTTTTTACATATGGATTAAAATATCTCAGAAACTAAAAATCAGGCCTGCATACTGTAAGTGAGGAAATTGTTCAGCATTTCATCTTCTCTGTTATAGGTTATAATTCAAAATTGTATCTTAATGCAACCACGTGTTAAGGAGACGAAAAGGAAAAAATAATGTCGAAAACCAAATGATAACGAGTTTATGCTAATATATAGTACAAATGCTAATATTTTTACAACATTGAAATTTTATTTTGGCAACATTATTAGCAGTATATGAGCCATTTATTTTGAAAGTGGCCTACTCCGTTTTTTCAATTTTTTGCCGGTTACCATGGTTACATGTACAACTTTATACTATATATCAATGAAACATTTCAGGTAGCTTATATTCCGAGCAAATACGATAAATTTTTGACACATAAGTTTTCAGAATTAGTTCAATAACTGAACCGTGTAGTTTGAAAGTGGCCTTACTCTATTTATTTAATACTTACATCAAGATATTTACTATTGATAATGTTGGAAAGCAGCGATGAAGGTAATTTCAATTAATAATTAGTATTTACAAGTTAACCTCATTTTTTAGACAATCGCGTTAGTTGAATAACCTGTACGTTTAATTAATATAAAACTTAAAATTTAATATTAAATTATTGAAATTGTGAAATTGAGGAAGAACAGAATAAGACCATTTAGTTCAGATAGTGAAGAAGAAATAGTAGGTTATGATTTTTTAAAAAATCGAAAAAGAAACAGAATTATAGAACAATCTTCGTCTTCAGAGGATGAAGATCTGAATAACAATGGAGAAAAGATTGATATATCATAAATCCAAAAAGTGTGAAAGATTAAACGGAATTCAGGAAAAAGATATTGCACTCAAACCGGAAATGTTGTTACTGAAAAAATGTTCGAAAACAAAGATTGCTGTTGCCGGACTGCTTGCATCAAAAATTACAATGAAGGAGAAAGAAAGAATATTTTTGAGAAGTTTTGGAGTTTGGGAGATTTTAAGAAACAAAATATATTACTTCACGAAGCTACTGAGCACAAAATTGTGGAACGAAGAGGTCCAACAAACGGAAAAGGTTCGCCAAGAAATTGCAGTTTTAGATATTTGTTAAATTCTAAAAACAGAAAAATTCCCTTATGTAGAAAATTCTTTTTGGATACTTTTAAAGTAAGCGAAGGGTGCTTAAAACGAGTATTAAACTCTGCAAATGTGGGCACTAATTTACTTGAGAAGATAATTGGATCATCAAGACAATTATTATCTGAGGAAGGGAAAAAGCACGTTCATAACCATATTAAAAGTTTTCCTAAATTTCAATCCCATTATACCAGATTCCATAATTCTAATAGAAGATATTTACATCCTGATCTAACTCTCAGGAAAATGTTTAATTTATACGAGCTTCATTGCGAGGAAAATAAAATAAAAGCCGTTAAAGAGTGGACTTATAGAAAAATATTTAAAAAAGATTTTGATTTACATTTCCACCAACCGCTCAAAGATACATGCCAAAAATGCTACTTATTAAACATTAAAATTAAAGCATCAAATGATGATGAAGAAAAGAATAATCTCACTGAAGAACACGATATCCATTTAAGACTAGCAGAATCAGCTAGAAATTTACTAAAACAAGATCACAAACCAAAGTATCATGTAATTCACATTATTATTTTGCTTTCTCGTTCGACTTGCAAAAAGCATTATTGTATCCAAAGCTGACTACCTCAGTAGCATATTACAAACGCAATATGTATGTTCTAAATCTGGGTATTCACAATTTAATGATAATGTTTACATATATGTTTGGGATGAAACTACTGCATCCAGAGGTGCTCAAGAAGTTGTTTTAACATGCATTAAAAAATGTTAAAAATTTAAGAAGTGAAAAACATATTATAGCTTACAGTGACATGTGCACCGGGCAAGATAGAAACATTGAAGTAGCTTTAATGTGGTTAAAAATTGTCCAAATCTCAGAAAATAATTTGGAAATCATAGATCACAAATTTTTAAAATCAGGACATTCGTTTTTACCAAATGATAGAGATTTTGGTGTGGTAGAAATGTCATTAAGAAAGAATAATTTACTGTTCGTTCCCCAAGATTATTAAAAAGTGTCGGAAAGGTAATAATTTTATTGTAAATGAAATGAGACAAAAAGATTTTGTATCAGCAAAATTATTAGAAGACGCAATTTTTAAAAGTGTAAAGAATTCTGATGGAGAATCAGTAAACTGGTTGCAAATAATTTGGATGCCTTTTATCAGAAATGAGCCGTATAAAATTTTCTATAAGACAACAATGAATGAGAATGAAAATTTTAAAGTCCTGAATTTATTACCATGTCAGAGTAGACTAAGAAAATTCGAAAATATTGTATTGACACCTCTCTATAAAAATATCGTACAAATTACAACAAAATTTAAGGACATGATTAACCTATTGCGATATATACCACCGGAACATCATGACTGCTTCAAATCCCTTTCACACACACAAAATGTAGATGAATAATAAATTGTTTGTTAATAAAATGTTTGTAATTTTGTATGTTCTGTAATTAAAAAATGTTTTGAACTGCATAAATTGTGTTTTCGAAGAGTTTTAAAGATATCTTAAATAAATTGAGTATTGTGTTTTTCAATTTGAAGCATCTTAAATTATGTTGAATGGATTTGGGTACCTTCAAATTTTATAATGAATCTGGTTGTTGATTTTGAAAGTGGCCTAACTCCATTTTTGATAAGAAAACGCGCATTATTTACTTAATAATTGTTACTATTTTAATAGGAACCATAAATTTAACACCCTTAGATACACTTAAGCAGTATGACTCATTAATATTCTACACGTATATTTTTAAATTCATTGAAACGCAAACCTTTAAATATCTCAACTCGAAGATAAATGGAGGAAGGCCACTTTCAAAATAAACGGTTCATATAAAAAATTAGAACTAGTAAGTATCGCTAATTGAAATAAGTAAATTATTAATCATTAAGGACATTTTTAGATTGACCTTGCTTTGATGTCTATATTTTATATTAACCTTAAAAATTTCTTATTAAACGGAATCAAACTAATTAACTCTAACTACAATACATCTCTAGTACACATGGATTAGTAAAGATATATAAAAGTGGCGCTCCACGTAGTCCTATTATCAGTAATATCAATCGGAAAACTGAAAAAAATATTGTTTGGTCTGTTTAGATGTTGAAAATTTATTTACCAATATCAACTTGAATGATGTAATAAACATAATTGAAAAATACTGGGATACAATGGAACCGCATACTGTAAGTGAGGGAATTGTCAGCATTTCATCCTCTCTGTAATCGACTATTGAAAATTGTATCTTAACCTGACGCCATGTTAGAGAGGCAAAATGAAAAAATCTGGTGCGCGCAACACATAATTTTCACTTACCGCTCATCTTTGAATAGAAATTATTTTCTGGCCATGTTGGGCTATTATAAATTTTTTAAATGCATTTTTTAAAGATTGCAGTTAACAAATCATAAATACTATTAAAATAACAAAAGTCCTATTTATTATATCACCGGTTGATTATGGATTGTACGTTTCGTTGATTATGGATTGTCCGATCTGTTGATTATGAATTGTACGAATATTAGTTATTAAACTGTTATTTTCCATTTCAAAGTTTATTAAAACGGAATTAAGAGATTTGCATTGTCTGTCATAGACAGGTCAAAAGTGGTTTCTGTTTCTGTACTAATTTTAAGTAGATTCTGTTGTAATATCGTAAGGGGAAAATTTATCAAATTATTCACTAATTTAATTTTATATAAGGTTACATTATGATTTTTCGGAATAAACGTACGATAGATACCTGATTATTTAAATATGTCAGATCTAGAGTTATTAAACTACAGTAAATATATTTAAGCTAATAAATATATAAACATATCCATGAAATATTTTTATATTTCACTTCTTCCTTCACACAAGTACAATGAAATAGTATCTTAAACAATGTCATGTTCTTGAATCCGTGGGTTTTAAATACTTCTTCAAACTTTAAAAAAATTTAAAAGTTTTTTTTTTTTTTTCTTATGCCAGTCGTTGGTCATTTGGCCATCCGACATCTTGCTGACCAGTATAATTTAGACTTT